ATCATCTTTAAAGTATGTTAATTATGCTTTAAACAGCAGAGAGCTCATCTCTTTCAGGCACATCTTTGTGTTTCACAAATACTAAAAACCCATTTATACAAAGTCTAGTTCAGGTTAATATTATGTTAATCAGGTGACCATTAATTTAGGTGAATCCTCTAAGCCTCATTTTTCTCATCTGTGATAGAAAGAGGCTTGAGGAGAATATTAGAGCTTACATGTTCAACTAACAAATTGTTATTAGAACTAATCTGCCAATCACGGCATTATTTTTAAAATTTTTTAACTTATTATTAAAAATGAGGGCCAGGCATGGTGATTCACACTTGTAATCCCAGGAATTACTTGAGCTCAGGAGTTTGAGACCAGCCTGGGCAGCGCAGTGAAATCCTGTCTCTACCAAAAATACAAAAATTAGCCAGGCATGGTGGTGCCCATCTGTGGTTCCAGCTACTCAGGAGGCTAAAGCAGGGAGATCACTAGAGCCTGGGAAGTTGAGGTGCAGTGAGCCATGACTGCACAACTGCATTCTAGCCAGGGTGACAGAGCAAGACCCTGTCGTTCATTCATCCATTCATAAAAATAATTAATTAAAAATGAGATGGGGTCTCATTATGTTGCCCAAGCTGGTCTTGAACTCCTGGGCTCAAACGTTCCCTCCGCCTAGGCCTCCCAAGTGTTGGAATTATAGATGTGAGCCACCGTGACCTGCCCACAGCATTATTTTTTATTTACAATTTTCTAATAGTTTTAGTCATAAAAATCCCTTATTTAACTTTAATGATTTATTGAAACATACCAATTATGCACTAAGTACTAGGATACTAAATGAACACATGGTTTCTTTACTTCGGAAACTATCAAGTCTAGTTGGGGATACAAACATGTAAACTGAAATTGTGCTATAATCTGATAGATATCCTCATATAGATAACACTAAAGCCCTATTAAAAACCAGTAGAGGTGACAACCAATTCCACCTTAATAACTAATGAAAGGTTTCATCAGGAAGTGATATTTAAACTGAACCTTAACAATCAACTGAAGCTTGCCTGGCAGAGAATCAAAAGGTGGAGGACGCATTCCAGGCAGAGATAGAACAACATGTGCAAAGAATAAAATCACAAAAGCGAATGGAGTATTTATGGAAAGGTGACATGTTTCATGTGACTGAAGTACAACTTATCAGTGTCAAGGTAGGGGATGACTCCTGTATATATGCTTAATGATAAACTCCTGGCCAACTCCCTCCTTTCCCATGTTTTGCCTCAAAGTAATTTTTAAAATTTCTGACCTTTTAAGACCAGCTAAGCCCAAAAACCTCACAAAACCATATACTCAAATAGGAATTACCAAGGCTAATTATTATTCCTTTCTTCTCTGTATTATGCTACGTATCTTCATAAAAGGTGACTACTCAGCCAGGCGCAGTGGCTCACGCCTGTAATCCCAGAACTTTGGGAGGCCTAGGCGGGCCGATCACAAGGTCAGGAGATCGAGACCATCCTGGCTAACACGGTGAAACCCAGTTTCTACTAAAAATACAAAAAAATTAGCCAGCCATGGTGGCAGGCACCTGTAGACCCAGCTACTTGGGAGGCTAAGGCAGGAGAATGGCATGAACCCAGGAGGTGGAGCTTGCAGTGAGCCAAGATCACGCCACTTCACTCCAGCCTGGGCAACAGAACGAGACTCTGTCTCAAAAAAATAAATAAATAAATAAAATCTTCCCGTAATTCTCCAATCCACTAGATCTATAATAATCAACTATCAACAGAAACAACTTAAAGGATGAATCTTAATAAAGAACGAAAGAAAATCTATTTCTATTTTACCTGAAGAATTCAAACAAACATCATTAAATATATGTCAAGTTTAGGCTGCTGTTTTCCTTTTTTTTAACTTTTAAGTTTGGGGGTATGTGTGACGGTTTGTTACATAGGTAAGCACACATCATGGGGGTTTGTATGTATTATTTCATCACTCCGGTATTAAGCCCAGTACCCAACAGTTATCTTTTCTGCTCCTCTCCCTCCTCCCATCCTCCCCGCTCAAGCAGACCCCAGCATCTGTTGTTTCCTTCTTTGTGTTCATAAGTTCTTATCATCTCACTCCCACTTAAAAGTGAGAACATGTGGTATCTGGTTTTCTTTTCCTGTGTTAGTTTGCTAGGGATAATGACCTCCAGCTTCATTCATGTTCCCGCAGAAGACATGATTTCCTTCTTTTTTATGGCTGCACAGTATTGCATGGTGTATATGACCACATTTCCACTCTGTCACTGATGGGCACTTAGGCCGATTCATGTCTTTGCTATTGTGAATAGTGCTGCAATGAACATTCATACGTGTATGTTTTTATGGCAGAAAGATTTATACTCCTCTGGATATATACCCAGTAACGGGATTGTTGGGTCAAATGGCAGTTCTGTTTTTATAAGCTGCTATTTTCTAAGTAGAATTGTTACAGACAACCTAAATAACAGCCGTTAGCCACCATTTAGACAATGAAGAATACATGCTAGAAAAACACAGGTTGTTAATAACTCTTTAAGGAAAGAAAATTTGATAGAAGTTGGCTTTTTGGAACTCCTTGCTACAGACCAATATTATGAAGGAGGACAGAGTCTCAAGCCAAAAAAGGCCCAGTCTACTATATAATTCAGAATATAATAGAGCCAAGTTGAATTATTGAACACTACAGAATCTAAACACCATAAACCATACGGTTTCTCTGTAACAGTAAATGTTGGGTTCTAACTGGTCAGGCCTGATACCTACCTTCCCCTTTGCCATTCTTTCAGTACTTCCTTCTGTTCCCTTCAGCACTTTCCTCTCTCAGGAATGGGCTAACAGGTTGAGAGAGGCTTTTATGAGATGTATAAAAAGACTTAGGAGAAAATAAAATCTGACAGTTGGGGTAAGGTAGTAATATGTTGATTAACAATAATATATCAACAAATGTTAACAGTCACTATGTCTGGCAATTAATTATAACTTTTTTACTCCATTTTTTATTTTTCTTATTTCAAAATTGATGCAGAAGTATCCTGATTGAAAACAAAATGTCCCCCAAGTGTTAATAACCATTATCTCTGGACAGTTAATACAGTTAATTTTCAGTCTATATATAATTTTTCTGTAATAGCATGTAAGTTCTTATTTGTTTTATTAATCATCAAAGTATAGACCCCACAGGCAGCAATAGCTTGTGGTATCTCTGAAAGAAGGCATGATGGAAACTACTGCTATTAAGTAGAGGTCTGTAAGTAGAAAATGTCTGTGGTAGATGGTGAGATAATAATAATTACTACGCATTCCAAGCTTGATAGTCTTCAGTACTTAAAATCAAATCTTATTAAAATGTTAGTTAAGATAACATTCTATAAAGCTATAAAATCATAAAAAGGAATGACAATTTCAATCCGTATTTTTGGTAAAACACTTCCCATTTAACACTATTTTATTTTGGATTAAAATCAAGATCCAGGGAACAATTTGTTGTATGCATTTCCTTTTTATGAGATTGGCTCTGGAGCTATTAATACAGTAACTGATCAAACCAATTACATCTACAGTGTAACAGATTTAAAGACACTATATGTGAGAACTTTTACCCAAAAGAATAACCCAAAACGAGCTGTACCTTAAACCAAATACAGCAGGTCCTCAAATAACATCATTTCCTTCTATGTCATTTTGTTATAACATTTAAGTATGTGTGCAGCTTGAATGTTCTCTCCATATCTGTGAGACTCTCGTTTCCTCCCATATCCCAAAACTGTGCACATTAGGTTCACTGGCGTGTTTAAGTTGTCCTGGGTTGAGTGTGAGTGTGTAGATGAGTGTATCCTGTGATGGAGTGGTCTCCTATCCAAGGTGGGTTCCTCCCTCCTTGACTGCTGGGATTGGCTCCAGCCACCAGCACCCCAAACCAGAATAAGAGGGTTGAAAAATGAATGAACGGATGAATACAAATTATTATCAAATAAAAACTGGTAAAGTCTAGCATGACAATAAATGCTATGGCACAAAAGCACTCAGAGATCCCATTGTATTTCTCAAACATTGATTCCATGTTTTTAATTGACCACCACAACCACTGTTACTCACTGATTCACGAAATACTGGGTAATTATCTTTGTTGGCTTTTTTTTTGAGACAGAGTTTTGCTGTGTCACCCAGGCTGGAGTACAGTGGCATGATCTGGGCTCACTGCAACCCCTGCCTCCTGGGCTCCAGCGATCCTCCCAAGTAGCTAGGATTACAGGCACATGCCACCAGCCTAGCTAATTTTTATATTTTTAGTAGAGACAGGGTTTCACCATGTTGGCCAGGCTGGTCTCAAACTCCTGACCTCAGGGGATCTGCCCGCCTTGGCCTCCCAAAGTGCTGGGATTACAGGCGTGAGCCACTGCACCCAGCCTATCTGGTTTTTATTAATCTTTCTTAAATGTACATATAATTCATATTTCTCTCAACGTTTAATATTAGAAGTGTTTGGGTCTTTATTGAGAAGTTTGGTGATGTTCTTGTGACCAGAAATGTGCTATAGGAACTTACCTCTTATTTACATCAATCAGCCTAGGGTAAAAATGGTTTTGTTATATGTTGTTTTGCATAAAGTCTTGGTTTCCAGGAACTTATGGATGACACTGAGGATTACTGCAATACTTGTAGTAAATTTGGGAGAAAAAGGCAAAGACTGAAGTTACTACTCCTAACACAAATGAGACTGTCATGTTGTGCCCCATCAAAAAAGGAGAAAGAGAGACACATGGAAACACATGCACACACACATACACACACACACACACACACACACACACACACACACAGAGACAGAGAGAGACAGAGAGAGAGAGAGAGAGACTATAGAAACACTTGATGTTATAAATAACAATAGTGCTGAGGAAGATGAATTAATACAACATTGTATTTTTTGTCCTGATAATAGGTTACATATATTATTCTAATCTATTTATTATTTTTACATTCCAGGCTACCTAAAAGAAGACAGTTATCTCATATTTGGCTACCAGCTTTTTATCTTTCTCTCAATCACTTAAAACTTCAGACTTCCTCTCCTGCTGGTATCATGGAGAAAGTCCAATACCTCACTCGCTCAGCTATAAGAAGAGCCTCAACCATTGAAATGCCTCAACAAGCACGTCAAAATCTACAGAATCTATTTATCAATTTCTGTCTCATCTTAATATGTCTCTTGCTGATCTGTATCATCGTGATGCTTCTCTGAAGTTCTGCTACAACCTCTAGATCTGCAACTTGCCACATCAGCTTAAAATCTGTCATCCCATGCAGACGGGAAAACAATACTGTAAAACAGACCACTTCCTGAGTAGAAGAGTTTCTTTGTGAAAAGGTCAAGATTAAGACTAAAACTTATTGTTAGCAAATGTATTCATCTGCTGGATCTTGTAAACATGAAAAGGGCTTTATTTTCAAAAATTAACTTTAAAATAAGTGTATAAAATGTAACTGTTGATTTCCTCAACATGGCTCACAAATTTGTATCCCAAATCTTTTCTGAAGATGAAATAAGAGTTTAGTTTTGAAACTGCACTGCCAACAAGTTCACTTCATATATAAAGCATTATCTTTACTCTTTTGAGGTGAATATAACTTATATTACACTGTAAAAGCTTCTTTAATACTATTTTTCAAGTCTTCACCAAGTATCAAAGTAATAACACAAATGAAGTGTCATTATTCAGAACAGTCCACTGACTCCTCACATCTGTTATCTTATTATAAAGAACTCTGTAGTAACTCTTTGTAGTAACATTCTAAAACAGAAATTGCATTTTTGCTATGCCACATTAACATTTTTTAAAGTTGATGAGAATCAAGTATGGAAAAGTAAGGCCATACTCTTACATAATAAAATTACTCTTAAGTAATTTTTTCAAAGACTCACAGAATTCTAGTACCTGTAGGTAAACCATAAATCTGTTCTAAGACATATGATCAACAGATGAGAACTGGGGGTTAATATGTAACAGTGAGATTAGTCATATCACTGATATACTAACAGAATAGAATCTAATCTTCATTTAAGACACTGTAGTGAATTATCTGACCTAGAGTTACCTAGTTTACCACGCTGTATCTTTTGAATCATGAAACCTTAAGACTTCAGACTGATTTTACAGGTTGTCTTCCATTCCAACCTAACATCCAATGCAGGCAAGGAAAATAATACAAGATTTCCAGTGACAAAAAAAAATATTATCTCAAGTATTTAAAAAAAATAAAAATATGAATTCTCTCTCCAAATATTAACTAATTCTTAGATTATATTTTGAAATGAACTTGTTGGCCCATCTATTACATCTACAGCTGACCCTTGAATATGGGGGTTAGGGGAGCTGACAATCCATGGGTCTGCAAAATCTTAACTACCTAATAGCCTACTGTTGACCATAAACCTTACTGATAACATAAACAGTAAATTAACACATATTTTGCATGTTATATGTATTATACACTGTATTCCTACAATAAAGTAAGCTAGAGAAAAGAAAATGTTATTTAGAACATTGTAAAAAAGAGAAAATATATTTACTATTCATTAAATGGAAGTGGGTTAACATAAAAGTCGTCATTCTCATTGTCTTCACATTGAGAGGAGGAAGAGAAGGAGAAAGACGGGGAGGAAGAGCAGGGGTTGGTCTTGCAATCTTGTCTTAGGGGTGTGGAGAGTGGGGAAAAAGAATATTCATGTATAAGTGGACCCTCGCTATTCAAGCCCTTGTTGTTCAAGGGTCAACTGTAACAGGAGATAGCTATTTTTCTTCATCTATCAACCAAATGGCAAGCATCTATTTCGTAGGCCACTCTACTGAGCTTAATTATAGATGCAGCAATGTTACCTATAATTATTTTCTTGATGAATAAATTTTCAATTTCTCCTCTGATCATTTCAGAACATCTTCCAATAACTCATAAAACAACTGAAGTAAAATTTAGTGCTGGAAAATATGTTCACCAAACTTAGGTTAAAATTAAGTTTAAAATAGTTCACACCTATACTGCATAATCCAACAATTTTAATTTCAGTTGAAGACATGTTACTAATATAACTATTATTAAAAGAGTAGAGGATGTGTAATTAACCATATCTTCTAAAACATGATTACTAAAAGAATATATAACATCAATATTGACCTTGGTTTCTTACACAAGTGTTGCTAACTCAATAGTGAAGGAGACACCATTAAATTTTCTGAACCCATGAGAGGTACTGGAGACGGGGAGTGGAAAGTGTTTGGTTCAGGGATATCTGAAGAACAGAAGGGCAGAGATTTCTTAAGTGACGCCTCATCTACAAGCTGGAAATCCCTAATAACAAGTATAAAGCTTATAAATAACAGGTGATACACTCAACTCACTGGTTTTAGTAAATTACCAACACAAAAAGTATTCAAGTTCTATAATAAGCTGCACTGGTCTTAAAAACAAGTGGAAAATTTGAACGGATTAGTCATACTCCTATGATTACATTGTTCATTACAATCTTTTTCTCAGTAAACAGAAATAACTAATTTTTTTGTTCTTCATTCTTTGATAAAAATTAAAATCTTATTCTGCGAGGATTACAGAATACTATAACTCAAATTATGAAGTAGAATAAACTCTTTAAATAATTATTCTTTATCACAAAGTGTAAAGAAAAAGATACAAGAAAACAATTTATTTTTAAAATTTAATATACTAAACGCTCAAATATGTTCTACCATAGAATAAGTTCTTATCTTAATTTACAGGGTACTAAAAACAATTTTAAAATGCTTAATGTTACCTTTTATATTTTAATTGGATAAGAATATATATTTGTTTAATGCAAATCAGAATCACTATATTAAAATGAAGGTTCTTGAAAACTCAGTGAAGCTGCTCTACAATACACTTAGAACTGATACTATCGATAAAAAAATTCTAATTTTAGTTTTGATTTTACAGGGGTTTTTTTTGGTGACTTTCCCCAAATAAAACAAAATCAAGATGCACAAGTACAGACACACAAGGGGGCAGACCTATATAAGATAATGAATTGCTACTACACAGACATTATTTATCTTTTGATTATTTTTGAGTCTTCTTGCAAAGTAGGGCTATAATAAATTTTCAGAAAAGATCTGTTCTTCTGCTAAGTAACAACACACTTTAAAATGTCCAGAATTTTATGCCAATATTACATAGAAAACTTGACAGATAAAAAAGTCAAACACATTACTAATTTTATTCATTAAAACATGTATATAAAAGTCCTTTTTAACTACCTAATGTATGTGTCATATCCTAATATAGGGAGTGTCATGGTGTCCACATCTTTGAATATATAAATTATCTCAAACAGTTAAAAAATAAAAGAACAGAGTACAAAAATAAGAAAGAATGAAAATAAGAAAACTTTCTTTTCACAGGACATAACAGAATACATTAAACACTCCCAAGTTATAGATAAAACTTTTTCATTATTATTTCGTGTTAGATAAAAAGTAATTTTACTTTAACTCATTTTATCATTTTTTTTTTTAATCAAGAGACAGGATGTTACTCTGTCATGCACGCTGGAATGCAGTCACATGATCATTGCTCACTGCAGCCTTGAACTCTTGGGGTGCAAGGGATTCTCCAACCCTGGTTCCCAAGTAGCTGGCACTATAGGGGCACATCACCACATATGGCTCTTTTTATTTTTTGTAGAGATGGGGTCTCACTAGCCCAGGCTGGTCCCAAACTCCTATCCTCAAGCTATCTGCCCCCCATCCGCCTCCCAAAGTGCTGGGATTACAGGGGTGAGTTACTACGCTTGGTCCAAATTTTTTGTCTATACAAGGGAAAATCTCTAGTAAAATATGCATAGGTGCCAATACCATAACTGTTCAAACATCCTTATGACTAAATAGGCACAAAATTTCATCTTTTTAATGACTGCCACCTGAAGTTCAGAAACATCCTAGGGAAAAAAAGGATAAACAACTTCGTCAATAAAGAGGCTACTATTATTTCACTACTGTCTGGGAGATCCATCGTGGGCTTACAGGAATCCAATGGACACTGCCATTACGTGTAGAAGTGTTTATCCTCCACCCTTCCACCCTACCTTCCCCTAAGAAAAGGAACTCAAGGGGGCCATGGAAAGGGAAGGATTCTTCCCAGAAAGAAGACCAGACTGCTTTTTCTCGTCTGTCATAGTCCTTACAGAGTCAGGCAGCTTAGGGGTTGCAGGGGGTGGGTAGCAGAAATGTGATGTATTACAGAGGAAAGAGTCAAAGACTAGCAGTGGACATTACACATGGAGCCTTCTGTCATAAACCATCTGAGGGCATAATGGCTTCTCTTCATTCACAAAGGAAAATGCTTCAGAGTACTAGACTCCTATACTCTTGATGGTTTAGCAGAAAATCATGTAAACCAAGGAACAACACACACATAAGAACATGTGGCTGTCTCAATAATTATTCTGGACTAAGTCCTAGGAAGAGCAAACCTTCAATGTTACAAATTAACCTGGGGAGTGGGGAGCTGTGAGGATCAAATGAGATAAAATACTGTGAAAGCTACAGAATTCTGTAACATATAAATCTAAGGTTTTATTAGATCATGACTTTCAACCAAATTCCTCTTCTTAGCTGTAAAAATACTGTTCTTTCATGGTCAGTGTTTAGGAGTTGTGCTTGCAAATCACAATTTATCAGATGGCCTGGTCCTTATTAATGTTCTTCTCTTTATGTAAAACTTAGACTAAAAGAAAATCAGTGTTTCTATGATTTTAATCTTTTTTGCTTTTTAGAGTTGGGGTCTGGCCATGTTGCCCAGACTGGTCTCAAACTCCTAGACTTAGGCAATTCTCCTGCCTTGGCCTCCCAAATTGCTGGGATTACAGGCATGAGCTACAGTGCCTGGCCAGAAGTCAAGGTTTCAAAGAGGCTTTTAAGAAACAACTATGATGAAAGCTTTTAAAATAAAGAGAAAACTACTTGGAAGCTCCAAGAAGGTATTTAACAACTTTTTTCTGTAGTTTTCCAAGGAGGAAATTAGAAGGGAAGCAGTTATTTAATGATTACAACTTAGTTTGTCTAGTTTTCTTTATCTGAATTCGTCTTTCTACTCCAAAACTTAAAAGCACTATAAAGAGACCCCAAACAAAGTTAATCAAGAAGTAGGGCTTTCCAGGGTATATGCAAATTTTGCTTGTTAGTAGCCTTCTCTCTCTACTATGTACTAGAAAGAAGATTTAAAAACAAATTGTTCTCAACAGTGTGTCCCCAACCTCCCTACCCTACTCTGCATTGCTTTGAGGCTACGAAAAACACCTTGTTTAAACTAGAGGTTTGTCCAAGCAGAATCAAAAGCAGGAATCAGTATTTACTCCTTGAAATTTGCCCAATTATCTCTATCACACCTATTCTAGCTTGGAATAGTATACTCAGCTCCACTGGACAGCTCCAATTCTGTGTAAAGACACCAGCTGGAGAAACAACTACCTGATTCTGTTTTCCGATAATGACAAACATTTGAAAACTAAAACGTGATAGTATTTGAAAAATCAGGTTTCCTATTTTTAATCACTTGAATGGATAAATCACAAATTTCTAATTCAATCACAATGATTCTTCTGTTTTGATTATGTGGTTTAAATACATAGTCAAAATGATAAGAACTGTGTCCAAAATAAGAATAAAAAAGGAACATGCGATATCTTAAAGGTTCTCCTATGAATGCAGCATGTTAGGGTTCTAGGTTTTGAGATCATACTCATATTTGTGAGGTTCCTGGACAAGTGATTGCCTTATCCTTTCATAGCCTATGTTCATTTATTCTATTTGTTTTTATTAGCAGTAGTAATGAATAGTAATTTTACATTTTTTACTCTAGGGAAAATTTGCAATTTTTAGTAGAATTAATTTATTTCAGAAAATTCTGATGATAAAAAATAGATGACAGGATTTATATCAGAAAATAAGTTTCCTTGTTAAAACAAGCTACAGAAAATTGTCTTAGAATAGAAACATTCCCAGATTAAGAAATGTTCACATTTACATGGTATCCCCGAGACCAACTGGGGGCTGTATACTATTTTTCTTTATATATGCTATCATCATAAAGTGCTTTCTATAAACTGATTAATGAGTAAGTCTTGACGCATAATTTTTTCAAAAAAATAAGTACATCTGATTTATAAACCTAAATACATCATCAGTCACCAAAACTTTACAAATGACTGTAGTTCCACCTTCTCATCATACAGATGAAGAAACTGAGGCCCAGAGAAATTAAGTGAAAAAATTATCCAGGTTCTAAATCTAAAAGAACAAAATCTAAGGCCTCATATGGCCAAGTTGAGGCTCTTTCTATTATACCTATGCTAGCGTTTTTGTTTCTGTTTCCAAGTTTCTTTAGATTGAGTATGTTCTGCTTTATTTTTATGCCCATTTAACAAATGAAAAGAACAAGCTAGGTACAAGGTTTTCAGATTTTCACGTTAATTAGTCTCAAATGCTTTGTAAGTTTTGTTTCCCAACAACACTTTTCAGGTTTGTAACATTTCTGCCTATTAACTTGCAGGAAAAAGGAAAAGCAAAACAATCTGTGGACACTTGTCATATGCTTGTTGCAAGTGTGGTACTGTACTCATAACATCCACTGGAGGGAAGCAAACACTAGATTTTGAGCCTTACCTGCATTGGTGTTTCACTTCCTTGTCGAAAGTCTTCAATTTGCTGCTGTTGCCAAGGAGCTAAACTGTAAGAATCCTCTGTATTTCTACCTTCCAAAGGATTTGTCCGCAGCTGCTCTGTAAGCCACATCTGAGTCCTTACAGAAGGCTGAATGGGAACTCCACCTACTGCCTGTTGACCAAGCATTAAATATTTTGGAGGTTCAAAAGCCTCTGAGCTTGTCATAATGGGCTTGCTTTCAGGTAAGGCACTATATGTCATGTCTACAGTCTGTCTCCTAAGAGTTGAGGAAGAGGCTCTAAAGTCCTCCTTGCTACAGCTCTCAAATTTATATTTGCAGTCCAGAGTTGATGACCGTTTTTTATTTACTTCCTTGTCCTCTAACTTAAGCATCTCCATACTATCATGTAAACAGCTAGGCCCAACTGTCCTCAGTTGTGATGTTAAAGCCTTAGCCCTCCCTATCTTCTCCAAACCATTCCTTGACTCTTCTCTGCATACAGTGCCACCCTGGCCACAGTTATCCGGGGCAGTGAGTTTGGATAAAGATGACCATTTCCGAAGTGGCCGGAAGTCCTTCATGTCTAGTGAAGAGTCCTGCTCCCCCCTACTGTGGTTTCCCAATGTTTGCATGAGGCTTGTACTCCATTTTGAGCCATCTGGTGTCAAGGATTCCCTAAGTTTGGAAATTGAAGCGCTGGAATTAGACGGCATCACATGGGCAGTAGGAAGAGTAATCAATGATTGACTAGGTTTAAAAGATAATGTGCCACTTGAAGTTGAATGATCTGGAAAGAAAAAAGATGGTCAAATTAGTTAAAATTAACAGACAAAAGAGAATGAGGTAAAATGCAAAATGCCAAAAGAAAAATCTGAATCTGGATTCATACCACAAGCTTTTCTCTTTTTTTTTTTTTTTTTTTTTTTTTGAGACGGAGTTTTAGCTCGTCGCCTAGGCTGGAGTGCAGTGGCAAGATCTCAGCTCACTGCAACCTCCGCCTCCTGAGTTCAAGCGATTCTCCTGCCTCAGCCTCCCAAGTAGCTGGGATTCCAGGCGCCCACCAGCACGTCCAGCTAATTTTTTGTATTTTTAGTAGAGATGGGGCTTTGCCATGTTGGGCAGGCTGGTCTCGAACTCCTGACCTAAGGTGATCTGCCCGCCTCAGCCTCCCAAAGTGCTGGGATTACAGGCATGAGTCACCGTGCCCAGCCCAGCACAAGCTTTTCAAAAAGATTTCCTCAAAATGAGTAAATTACTATTATCCTTTTACCTGAAACAAGTCAACATACTTTCAAATTGGATTTTCTAAATATGGATACATAATATACAGCCTTTTACCATCTACTGTACTTATAGGTGAAAAGTTATTTAAAATAGGTTTATATTTACCCTAATTAAAGTATTGTATCTTTAAAAGGAAAAATCCAACTCCTTACTGAGAGGTCTTATTCATAATCCAGCAATGAAGTCTCAGACACAACTTTGTCAGAAAAATGGTATTTTTCAGTGTCTTTCCTGAACTGTGAAAATCTATGCCAGATCTGAACACTTTAGAACCTCCCCAACCTCTAATTGAAATGAAAAATGAGTAAAGGTGTTCCTTCAATAATGGAAAATAGTCCCAAAGGGTTCACTTCCAGTATCATTTAATGGCATATATATGTGTGTGTGTGTGTATACATATGTATGAATATGTATGTGTGTATATATATATTTATATTCACCCCAAGCTAGAACCTTAGAGTCTACTTTGATTCCTTTCTCTTTATATTTACTAAATCCCCAAGTTATATATTTTTACCTCCAAAATAGCTGAATTTCTATTACTTTAGGTGAGGCCCTCACATCACACTCTTCTATACAAATGAATAGTTTCAATAGACTAAATGAAAGGCTGAAAGATAAATAAGGGTTTAAATACTCAATATTCACCATCAAGTGCCATGTTATCATCATATATATCAAATTAAAACCAAAGACTATAATTCTGTAATCAAGGGATATCTAGAAAGGCGGTAGCAACTTAAATTAGTGTGTGGGAGGAAGTGAGTGATGGAGACCTTTGCAATTTATTCTGTATCTCCCCACACTGATCAACTCTTATACCAGAAGATACTTATTACTTGTATTCTCTTATATTGTCTTATGGAAAAATTTATGTTGATAAAGTTGTAAGAAAATTCAGATTAAAACGAGCCAGGTAGACTAATTCAAAAAATAAAATTCCAGTGGGTCTTGGCACAGATTTTGTTAACCTGGACATGAAATGAGAAAAACATTACAAATGAAGGAATATGAGCAAAAGCATTGTAGGGGATATTTATCATATTCAAGACTGCCTATCAGCTTCTAAAGAAACTTCCTGCATTCAGGAAAATTCTCACATTACTGACTCCATCCCTCCCAAAATATATTTCAGACCTCAAAATCCAGTACACCCTGCAACTATGATGCAGACATTCAGAGGCAGCAGCACAAAATTGCGGTTTTGGAAGTAAGTCACATGATAAAATGGACTCAGTGTGGAGCTACCATTTTTGGGTGGTATAGGCAACAGCAGAGGCATCACCTTTCCACAACAGCAGTGATAGACGTGGCCCCACAGTGGCTACAGAATCAAAATTTCTATCCCACTGGCAGCAGCTAGGCAGCTTGGTGGCGGAAGACTGACAGTTCTCATATATGATTTGAGGCATATTATTTGGAAGCTTATCCTTAAGCCTGGTTCTCCAGCCTTCCTAAAAATTCCTTTAGGAAGCACCAAATATCCTTAAGTAAATTTCCTATGTGCTCAACCAGCCTGCAAACAACTTCTGCTAATTGAAAACACTAAATTATCCAATCATGAAGCCAAAAGAATGTGGCTGTATAAGAAGAAAAATAAATCCATGTATCTACAGTATGGAGTTAAAGTACCAATGAAAGTTGTCAAGGTAACGGATAGGTAAAGGTGAAGCAGAATTATACACATCTTCAAATGCTCTGTAAGTAAAGAGCCTGGCCTTCATTCAGCATGAAACATGGTATCACTGAGTTTCCAAACAAGGGAGTGAATGATATGATCAAAATTGTACTTAAAATGACTGATTATTCTGACAGCAGAGTCGCCAATGGATTAAAGCAAAACAACTGGCAAACACAGTGATTAACAGACTATTCTGGTAATCAGGAGAACAAGAAAATAAAGGGGAATATGCTACTGAGGGTTGGTTCTAAATAGAAATAGGACATCCCCAAAAGTTTATGGAACATTTGTATTCACATATTATAGCATTATATATATCTTACATATATTTTTATTAATATTAGTAAGGGAGTACTTATACTAAAATAATCAGAGCCTCTAAAAGATATCTTAAAAAAATAAAAAATTAGTCTTGTATCAAGTTGCAGATAAAAATATAGAGCAAAGGTTAAGTAAAACAGTTTTGATTTCATAGAGTAAAATATAGGGCTGGGTGCAGTGGCTCACGCCTGTAATTCCAGCAATTTGGAAGGCCAAGGCAGGTGGATTACTTAGAGGTCAGGAGTTCAAGAACACCTTCACCAACAATAATGAAACTCCATCTCTACTAAAAATACAAAACTTAGCCAGGTGTGGTGGCGGGCACCTGTAATCAAGCTACATAGGAGGTTGTGGCAAGAGAATGGCTTGAACCTGGAGGTTCAAGGTTCCTGGAGGCGGAGATTGCAGTAAGCAGAGATCATGCAACTGCACTGCAGCCTGGGTGACAAAGCTAGACTCTGTCTCAAAAAAAAAAAAAAAAGAAAAAGAAAAATATAGAGCCTTTTTAGATTCAAATTCTGGCTCTATCACTCAGTAGTTATGCGTGCTCAAACATGTTATTTAACAGTTACCTCTTCCATAGAATGGAGATGACAACAGTGAGAATTAAACCAAAACACATAAAATATATAGAAGAATTCCTAGCAGAAAGCAAAATGTTATTATTATGTCATTAAAAAGCTACAAGTAAATGTGAATTTCAATGTAACAAACCAAGGATAAATACCCATACATATAAAGAGCTCCAACAAATTAAAAACAACAACAACAAAATACCCTAGCAACTCAATTTTAAAATAGGCCAAAAAAAAAAAAAAATCAATAAGCAAATCAACAAACAACAAACACAACTAGAGAATATATATTTTTTAAAAAATCCTCAAACTCACTAATAGTAAAGGCACATTCTCTATCATACTCAGAAAACTATTAAAGGCTGCAAATATACTACAGTGATGAGAACGTAAACTGTTATAGTCTTTGGAAAAAGAGAAGCAATTTGTACATATCACTGTTTAAAATATGAATACACATACGTGAACACACATATGTAGATATGTAGAAATGTGCAGAGAAAAGATCCGAAAGAATACACACAAAACTTAATAAACAAAGGTAACCGCTACATAGTGGAAAGGGGGCAAAAGGAGAAAAATACTTCCACATTTTACTTTATACAATGTCTTATTTTAATTGTTTTCCAAGGAATATAACTTGACCATGTGGTCAAACTTCTGCACAGGTATTCTGTTGTTCTGTGACCTCGAAGAGTTTAAAATACTTCTAAAGTATGAATAATATAAATAGGTAATTTTCTCACTTTCCATGTCACAGCGGAATACTATAAGACCCAGTTTGGCTGCTTCTTCTATCCAATAATGTGCTACTTTCCAATCTGACTTTACTAACTCAGTACTTTCCAAATGCAAAGAAAAATCAGCAATGAATGAAAAATCAATTTCACATCAGACTAGTGTTTATTCCCTAAATCTGAAAGCAGTTGATATATGCTGTCCATAGACTATTATACTGAATATAGAATTTATTCCTTAAATTCCCTTATTACAAATTCTCAAATCTTAGCATTAAAAAAGTTGCCTGAGAGCTGATGCCCTACTCCAAGAGATTATGATCCAGTAAAGTAGAGAAGGGCCTAGGAAATACCACTTCTAAATAAGTGATTCTGCTGCTTCATTCACTATAACATCATTCCATATGGGTCTGATTCCAGTTCTGAAGTCTTTAAGCTTAAATATCCCAAGTTCAACCATAACCAGTATCTAAGTTCTAGTGTAAAATCTGAACTGTGACATTCAGAATTCATTACTGTCAAAACTAAGGATCGAAGTTTTGTCTACTGACATACATATGCACATAAACACACATGCACACATAACACATAAATGAAAAAAGAATACTTGAAAGAATTAAATATTTAGTATTTATAAGAGAATTAAACATAAGAATTAAAATTTTAAAATTAAATATTTAAGAATATATGAACAAAGAATTAAATATTTTCCCCCAGTATGAGTATCTAGGTGGGAAAGGGGTCATCATTATATCTTAGACAGAAACAAGTCCAGAAAATGTTAACTTTAACTATTTCAACACTTAAAAATGTTATTTTGCCCTAAGGAAACACAGTTAATTAGAGGTAGATACAATGCAATTCCTAATGTGCTTGATTAGGCTACCTAATTGTAGCCACAAATCCCAAATGCAAGTTATTACTACAGTATCTAGCCCACATCTAAGTTACAACAGTGATATCTGAAACCAACAGAAGGTAGTCCTTTTAAAAACTCAAGAATGTGGTTTACAGCATTGACAGTAGGCACAGATGAGCTAATGGTTTCAAACAGATTTAAGTTTTAAAGGCCAGAATATAAGAAAGGGACATTGCTATAACCTGATAATGCAAGTGAGTTATATTTAAGACAAAATATTTCTCAATTCCAGACAAAAACCCAATCTTCTGTTTCACTGTCATGTTATTC